AGTTGCCTTTGGCTGTAGTTTGCAGGGTTCAGAGGCTTTTCTGAAAATGCTGATGTTGTGGCTTTCTACGTGTGATTTCCAAAAGCGAAGCTATCAAGCACAGCCACACAAAAGGAGGCCACAAACGTTCTTCAGCTTTCACTAAAATTCCCAGTCCTACTTTCTTTATAGTTTTAAAGAAACTTCTATGAAACTCCCAGAATTTGTACTGATGTTAGAGACACCTCCTGACAACAGCGCTTGTTCCACCATTTCCTCTCTCCATCTGACCAAAGAGAAATAAATTCCAATTCCAATCAGTATAAGCCTTTTTTTTTTTTTTTTGCCCCTTGCTAATTTCACAAACAAATTACTCTGCTAAAAGATCAAGTCAAGCATTTTGCTTAAGGAAAGCAAATAGATCCTTGGACAACCTGAAAGCATCACTAAAGTCTTTCAGAAGATCAAACAAAATGGTGAAGTTAACAAACCAAAGATCCCCCTATCTGAAAGGAATGGCTTAGCTGAGAAATTTGCAGTACAACGATAACAAATTAATACAGCTAGGATTTGATTTCACTATCACCATTAGTTATAGTAACTATTAAATATATTTAAACTACCTTAAGGAATATAACTCCTATGGCAGGTAACTGTGAAGTGTTACACATTTTTATCTGTATTTTGTCCTTTTTTTAAAACAAACAAACAAACAAAACTATTAATGAATGTTCCCAGGCATAACAGAAGATGTCTAATAGTACCTTCCAGCAAATTCTGGAGTAAACTTTGCAACAGAATTGTAACACTGGACTTGAACAGCACCCTACACAGCTAGGTGGCTAACAGCTTATGCCTGAAGAGATATATTTCAGCTTGGGTCAGTACTCATGCTGATCCAAGTCCATGAAAAAACACATAGGAAAAAAAAAAATTAATCACACTGGTTTAAATTACTAATATGTTTAATTTATTAGTAGTTAGAAGTCCCAACCAATGTTCATTCCCTTATGCTGCTTGTACCCTAACTACTTGCATTGTGAGCAAATAATTAGGGTACATCTCTTTGCCTAAAACATCAAAATCCACTGCTTGATTTTAACCATCCTATAAAACATATGATGCATCCATCTAAAGAAAACAAATATTCTTTTCCCAGATATTTATCCACCAAGAAGAGCACTTCTAATGAAGATCAGTATTGTCGCATACTTGCAGCTGCAGGTTTTCACCAGTATCCTAATATAACAGGATCAATCCAAATGAACAAGTCTCTTACACATACTATAAAGTATTCTGTATAAAACACCAACGTTGTTCAATGTTGGTCCTTTCATCAAGCCATGAGCAAGTCACAACTCCAGCTGAATATACGCAAACATTTTCACATCTTAGCACATAAATGCTTCAAGAAAGCATTCTTGAAGCATTCTATCTCCTAAAATCCTATGAAATTCCCTTCTAAAAGATGGCAAGATTCAGACAGGAAGAGGATGAAAAGTAATGCATCAAGAAAAAGATGAAGCACATTTGTTACACTCCCGGAATGCTTGTGGTGCTAAAAGGGACACTGAGAACATGCAAAAAGTAACAAGAGCATTAGTGTTCCTGAGTGCTGGAACCAGGTATTGTAATACATGATAGGACAGTTCTTTGTGGATACAAAATACTGCAGCATCCATAACTGGGAAAAAAGTACACTTAAATATCTGAGGTCAGCATTTATTTTCAAATTAATTGACAGGTGGTTTTTTTTGTTTTGTTTTGTTTTTGTTTTTTTCTTTTCTTGTATAATCTGCAGAGATTGCTACAAGATGTTCACATAATGACTTCTATTATTCTGTTCTAGCCTTGCAAAATCTCCTGGTAACCTGATGCTACTATAAAAGAGCCTTCTATAAACGTGAAAATGACATTAAATCAGAGGTGAAACTATTAAAAATAATTCTGCAGCCCACTGGACTGTGATGAATTTGTCTCTGCCTTTACTGAACATAAAAATGCTAAAAAAATAATAGCACCATAAACTCCACTGGGGTTTCTTATGTAATAAAAATTAAATCCGTTCATTAAAATTCATCCTAGAATGACTTACTACAACTGATGCCCTAGATGTTACCTTTGAGAGAATACTTAAAAAAGAAAAAATGGAGCAACATTAAGAACTTGGAAAATTAAATAACCACTAGGCTGCTCCAAAAGTAATGTCTCCTATTTATTTCTATGGAAAATACACCAAATAATGCAGTAACATTAATTGATAGAGAACATTCTCACCTACAAAACATTCTTTTTCAACACAGTCACCACCACTGGCTATGCATTTTTGCCAGTGATGAACAAGAGCCTGCATGCAGTGCTCATAAAAATCTGCACCTGTGGAGATGAACCACAGTTGTAACAGCTGAAACACACTGCTCACCTCCTCACTGTGCTCACATCTACTGCTTGGTCTCTACCAACGTTCAACAAACACTGATGAATGCTAGTGGGTACCATTTTTTCCACATGGAGGAATTCAGTTTCACCTTTTGATTCACATGGACTCCCATGTCAGACACTACTGTCTCAGACTGTCCCTCTGCTGCCTCCCGTCACACAGCAACACAATGTAATGGAATACTGACAGGAAGGTTCGGTTCAACCTCTACTGCTGTACTACCAACACAGTAAAACTGGAGACATTACATTCAGAGCAGCCCTTGTGTTTTGTACTTTTAGATTTAAGATTTTAATTATACTTTGGATAAAGTATTTTTCATCGAGCTCTGAAATTTTAATGTAGTAACATGATGAAGCAAACAAAAATATTCCTCTAGCAGCATATTACAGAAAATAGGTTTTACACAGGATTAAAAAAAACAAATCAAATATGACAAAGTCACTCAGTCACTACAGCTCTATCAAGTATCATTGCATCAGAATTGCTTAAATTCATCTGTTTAATCTTTGGTAGGTGGACCATCAAGGTGGCAAAATAATCTAGAGTGAACAAGGAAGTTTGAAGTGCTGATGCTCATTAAGGAAGGTGATTATACTAATCGTTTTCTTGCCCTCATAAAATGCTTTTAGCCTGGTGATTTACTTGCTTCTTAACAAAGTCTGTTGAGATTCCTTTTCCCAGAAACACTGAAGTAGAATACTACTGTCACACTGTCATTAAAAGAAATAAAAAATACTTTTTAAAAAAAAGTCAAGCAAAATGGAAAATTAAGGTGTCAAACTATAAATGAAGGAATATAAAAACCAGATAAAATATTTAACTTTTCCCTCAAACTGCAACCAGTGAATGAGGAGATTGGAAGCAATCCACTGTGTGATTCAGGGAAAAAAAAGCAAATACAAAACAACAACAACAACAAAAAAAAAAACAGAAAACCACCAAACAATTCAAAGGCATTTCCTGAGATCTGTGAGCAGCTGCCTGAGGAAGGGAAGGAATAGGAGGGCTGAATGCAAGGTCAGTCATGAAAACCTGGCATCCATTACTTTAATTGGGAATTAAAGTAGTCTCACATTAAAGCAGTCTATCTGCCTGGAGCAGCTGTGGTGGGACGTAGGGAATGTTACTGCAATATTTGGATAGATTCTCAAATAAAATTGTAAAAAGGCTCCAGTAATTAGTAAACAATATGAGAATTCAGATCTTGGCACTGAACTTTGTTTGCAGTAACAACTTGATGTTTTTATTGTATTAACTTGTTTACACTGAATAAGCAGCATGGCAATTTAAGGTACGTGGTATCATGGAAGTATAACTTGTATTACTGTACATATTTGTTTACTGATATCTTTTGTGACATTTGTCTCTGCACTGAAATATCTGATACTTTCACTTTCTTCTAAAGCTTCATAATAGAATGGTATTGTATTATTAATTTGCTTAAATTATATTGCTTGAAATGACGTGGGGCTACATAAATTTGTTGATTACACTGTGATAAAATACCTTTCCCAATACATCCAGCTCATTAAGTCCCCTAAATTAAAGATGGTAAAGTTTGTGCAATGCTTAAAAAAAACATTAGGCTAAAACAATAAAAGTACAGGTAATTAAACTGCCAGTTGAACACAAGTATAATTCCATGCTGGGAATTCAGTCACAATATTAAGCATCTCTGTAATCACAAAAGTAAATCTCTTTGGACTATTAGAAATCCTGTGGTATATTTCTCATATTTTGCACAAATTTATTTTATTAGCTCAATTCTATTCTATTCCAGCAGCTAGCTTAACGGTCTATCATTGTTTGTTGCATATTCTGAATTTCAGCCCAAAACGCTGTGGAGAAGAACATTTGAAAGCAAGTCCACAGCACAGATGATTTTGGTGAGAATCAGCAACAGCTGGAATGAAAAAGTGCTGACTAAAAAAAATACAGTACACTATTTTGATCAAGACAATATGTGATATACCTGTATGTTCTAATTCAGGGGGCCGTCATGAGTCTACATTTGTAATAATAGGTTGCCAGCAAAATTCTATCAGATTATCTTACATCGCAAAAAATATTCAAGTAACAAGACTCCTCATGGCCTATGCGATTGCCAGCTACTTGTCAAAGTGTCTGCACACGGATTGAAAAGTGCAAGATAGCTTTTACAGTTGGTACCTTTATATTCTCTTACTTCAGCACCAATACATCACATATTCATTAGCAGTGCTGCTTTACGTGCATTTCTCATACCATAATGCACCACACATCAACACGTGGCTCACGTTCTTAGAAGGAAACAACAATACTCTGCATCTCTTCAGCCACTGAAGCATGTATCATTGGTGTATTATAGTGTGACTAACTGAATTGAAGGAAATATCAGTGTTTTGTATCCATTTTTGGTTGTTTTATGACATTTCATATGAGGTGCTCCAAATTAAAAAAAAAATAACAACTTTCAGTTTCTACTAGAGATCTTGCTGTCAGAGTTACAAAACTACAGGAGATTGAGTTGTTAGAGACAGTAGAACAAGATCGTATCTGGTGATTTGTTCATCTACAATTATTGTCTTTTTACTTCCAGGAAATATGTCATTCTGCATTTGCTGGTTATTCAGATTGGACCACTCTTCTGATGCCAAAGTATTTACAAGACTTTCCCAGATGACACAGTACCTCGGATACAGTTGGCCTGTTCGCAAGAACTGAAGTAACGACTACACATAGTAATGCTTCTTACTGAACCCTGCTTGATGCTATGTTTTTATCTGGTCACAAGTGGCTACATTATTTTGAAGTGTTAGTTTAACTTTCAATAGTAAAAACACGGCTGAAGAGGAAAATTTTCTTAAGAAAGCAATTCAGTTTGTTATTAATTAATATAATTTCATCAGTAAAACTATGCATTGGAAATGAAAGTGCCCCCAGAATTTGCAACGTCTGTTTAGTCAGGACGCATTTAAGACGTATGACTAATCTGTCATATGAAAAAAAAGCTGGATTGCTATAATGAAGAGGTGACTGACAACTAAGAGCCATTGGGAAAGCCATAAGACACAATGTGACCTTTAAATGAGTTAACTGTAAGCATAGCTGTCTATTGCAATTCCGTAAAATGAAGAATCGTGTTTGCTTCAGAAGACTTTCTGCATTTTCCAGCTGCAATAAATCTTCCTTTACATTTTATATACAATATCTTTACCTTAGTGTTCAATCTAATGAGCAACTAAATTTGAAAAAGAACAAGAAGAATGAAATGCTTATCTTGTTCATTAGCAAGGTGTTCATTTGAATCTAAGGTATACAATCATATGACAGAGTTCAAATGACAAATGTAATGTGCTTCTTTGCGACCCATTACTTGCAGACTTTAAATTGTGATTCAATGGCCCAGCAAAACATGAAAGTGCGCCCGGTGCTACTGAAGAGAAACAGTCTGGATTCATTTGATTTTATGAGACAGCCACATCACCGCAGAAGCAAATCTCAGCAAGTTCGTTTCAAGGATGATGGTATCAACACAAAGACAGTGGATGTCACTGATGTGGATAATAATCCTGCCCAAGACATTGCATTAATGATTGAAAATACAGAAATATCTCAACAACACAAATTTTTGTTACAACCTCCATCTTTTCCAAAGGCTCAGAAGGGGCTTCAGAATATTGCCATACAAACATCTCCTAGCCTCAGGAAACACTTCCCTGTTTTTAGAAGAAAAAAGCTGCTGGTAAGCAAATCACTAACAGAAATGCCAAGTGAGACTAAAGACTGCATGCCAGTAAATGACAATCTTTCTGAACAAGACATTATGTCTTCAGACTTCTGTTACTTAAGAATAAGTAGCCATTTGGAAGATGGATTCAGGATTAGTAAAGCGGATGGTCAGTCAAGTCAAAGACTGCCAGAAGCACAAAAAAATGGACATATCCAAATCCATGATTCCTCAATAACAGAAAAGACAACTGCTTCTACACAGGTGCCTGAATACATTCATGTGAATTTTCCACAAAACAGTGATACTTCCATGGATGCATCAGACACGACCATGAATTTAAATAATTTACTGCATTCTTCTAATTCTTCTACTATCATAAATAGTAATGAAAACAATGAAACCAGCATGCTGTCATCTATTCCTGAAAAAATATACCCTTGCCTAAGTGATTCCACTAACGGCAATGATTGTAATCCTCATTCTGACTCTTGTGAAACAGCTAACAGTGATCCCGAGTTGCTTGTAGTCAGCAAAGACACAAGCAGTAAAGAAACTACTCCATTATCACCTCCATCGAATCAAAGTTCATCTCCTTGTTTCCTCAGAAGCTATCTACAGACAGTAGAGAATAAAACAGATTCCAGCTGTGTGACAGTAACAAATGATGATCACACAGTAATGTCATCGACCAGCAGTAATGCATCAAAATCCGTTTCTTCATTTAGTACTGAAACTGAGAAAAATTCTACTCTGTCTGATGTTTCCCAATGTAATGGCTCTTTAGAAGGATTTCACACGAAGTCTTATCTGCCAAGGAATGAAATAAAACCACACATCAACAAAGAGATTAGTGAAATAAATCAAATTCATTTGACACATGGTGAACTATGTGCTCTACAAGGCAAGCTGCAGTCTGTAGAGGAATCCTTGCTGTCAAACCAGGAGAAGATTAAAGTCCTTTTGAATGTAATTCAAGACCTTGAAAAATCCAGAGCCCTCAGTGAAGGGTACGGTGCATTTTAATATCACAAATTCATCAAAAACCTGAAGCAGATGTTATCGCTCTTTTAACTTTTGCTACTATATTTTTTCTGTGAAATATTCAAAGATGAGTTTGCAAAAATAATTTCATTCAGTTTTTGGGAAGTTTGAGCCTTTACAGAAAAGCAAGTCTCTTTATAGGTTGGCTTCAATTATCACTGCCTTTAGTAAACTGAGCGGAAGTTTATTAGCACTCCATGTTGTTTAGATTTATGTTATCAGGTACAATGCCAGCACACAGCTGACAGTCTCCATCTAGCTAACATCTCTCTGCAGCTGAACAACGAAAACCCAACAGTCCAATGTACTAAGTAATATAACAAATCTACGGCAAGTCAGCTTTCTCTGTCAAGGTCAAATATGCATTTAGTGCCAAAACAGACCATTGCTGAAACAGTTCATATCAGCAAAACCATGCTTCTGTTCAATATTAATTCTGCTTTAGTGAGCAAGCAAAAAAATTAGTGGCCAGTGCACAACATCTGCAGGCTTTCATTGTTGGGACTGTGTTGTTGGTTACGTTTCATTATATCACTTACAACATATTCACTTAAGGGGAAAGCCTTTAGAATTGAAAAAGGCAAAAGACCACATTAATTTTTTAAATTAATTTTATTAATTTAACCTCCAGTGTGTCAAGAAATCTTTGCAGGAAGTGAAGGTGAGGGCTTAAAAGTTATTAAAGCTATGAACATGGAGCATATGAAGATTGTTAGCAAGACTCTTAGGAGTCTCATATTTTAGAATGACTGCTTTCTGCAGTATCAGTAAGAATGCATGATCTGTATTCAGTTTTAGTGAACAGTCTCATATCTATTAGCCAAAGCCACAACAAGTATTTATGTAACACATTCATGAATTATAAGTAATATCCATACTACCCACACAACTCATGTCAGAACACTCAGGAAGAAGATATATTCACATGACAAAGTACTATATTAAATATTTCTGTGGTCAAGTTACATATTAAAAATATACTATTAATGTTCTTCAAACCATTAACAACAGTTTCAGCTTACAGTAAATGTATCCTAGATGCATTTTAAAGTTGCCTTTCATGATAATGTAGTATTTCCATCAAAAAAATTTTATTTTCAGGAAGAAAAACAAAACAGCCAGTGGATCTTTCAAAGAAACAAGCAAACAATAATTTTGTTTGCTTTTTCAATAAAACAGTGTGCAGTCTAGGTTATCACACATACAGTTTTAGAAACAACGTAACTGGTTTAGTATGCTGTGCCTGGATGGGATGGAATTAATTTTTCCCACAACATCTCATATACTGCATAAAACAGCAGCACTCAGACACATAAAGTAAATCATTTGTGCACAACTGGTTGTGCATAAAACCGGATCCCTAATGTTAGCATTGTATCATGTGTATCAATAGTATTTCCTGAGTATAACTAAGGAATACACCCGGTAAGCTTATTTTTGTCTGCAACATGACAGAAGGGCTGCCTTGAGATATTTGTGCAGGTTCAATTGCACGTAAGAGTCCAGAACACGACAATGACTTACCCACTTGACGAAAACCCAGGTCTTTGCACACATTTTCATGTGGGTAGAACAGGTTTGTGTGGCTGTTCAAAAACTTAGCAGGATACGACAGACTGTGGTGACAATCATGTATGTCAAATTTTCTTACAAGAAAAAAAATGGCAAAAAGCTATTTTCAAAGAATGCTTGAAGATTTGTTACTGCCTGGAAATATTTTATCATAGAAGTATGTCAGTGTACTTACAAATACACATTACGTGAACAACTGTTTGTTACAGGCGCAACTTCTACCACACTGGTCAAGACCTCAACAACTGCAGCACGTGTCAGAACACCGCATGTATAATTTACAGGTACCATGCCTTGCACAGTTTTCCACTGACTGTATATCTCTCACAAATGTACAATGCTATGTCCTGCTCACAGCTGTAAAGGGTCTGATATCATCATCCCTGTTTTTTAAAAAAGAAAAGGGAATATGTAAGGAGCTTTTGTTGTTTCCTTTCTCCCCAGGTAAAGAACAGTTAGCACTGGTGTTATCAGAAGATACTGTACTTTTGGAAATTCAAACAGAAACTTCCATCAAGGTTTCACAGCATTACTAGTATTATCATGCTTTGAAAACCTTTGAAGTTGTTTCTGATTATGAAATTCTGTGTATGTGTTAGATTTTTTGAGATAAAATTTGTCATAAATTTGGATCTTGGAAAACATAAACAGAACATTCTCCAAATACCATTATGCACCAGTTCTTGTCTGCATAACGCAGAACAATGAATACGTCCCCCTTCTTATTTCAGCAAAGGCTTATTTATTATTATTTTGAAACAGAGCACTTTGAGTCTGAATAACTACTGCTGAGTAACTACAGCATGAATTTGTATGAACTTAGTAGTAGTGTGTTCTGCAAACTACACCAATTCCAAGTGTTGCATTCATATTAGCACAGAAAGTCTTTGGTTTTCTGCCCATTAGCAAAAAGCGAGGAAGTACAAACTCTCTGCAATACAGCACAAGTAGCTGGTCCTCTCAGCAATGGATTTTCTAGGACCTCAGTCAATTGATAAACACACTGTCCAGTCAATGCAAGCTCTATTATAAGTCAGAATACAAATCTTTAGCTATTTGATTCCATTATGTTGCATGGAATCTTCAAAGAATGCTGAACAATTGCAGCATAATCAGACTGGGAGCCCACCTTTCACTATTCCAGACTCCTCCCAGTACGGACATACTTTGTAGACTGAAGAGAATGAAAAGTTAAGATGTGCGTATAGTCAAAATTTACCATATTATTTTTTACGCTTCAAATGAAAAGATATCAACTTTTTGTTGGATTTTACAGGAACACACATTATATAGAAATTCTGTAGAATTCATATAGAAATAACCCTTTACCACGGGATACCTTCTCTCTGCAGGAGAATAAACTATGCTTCTTAATGCTGCCTTTTCAGTTTACACAGTTGCAATACAGGAAAGATCTTGGGTAAGAAGTGCAAATATATGAAGAACAGAAGAAACAGTTAAACACTGACGTGTCTTTTGGGATAGTACATACTACTTAATGCTAAGATTGCCTGGAGGCTTAAAGAACACCACTTAGTAGAACAGAAGCAAGAACACAGATCCTGCTTTGAAGAATTATTGGTTTTAAGAGACAAAACATAAAACATTAAGGAAATGTAATCATTTCCATTCTCATAGAAACCTCTGGTGAGAAGCAGTTACAAAAAAGTTTCTAAGTAACTAATATTTGATGTTCATTACATTTTGAAGGAAGTATTTGTGTTTATCAGGTTTATTTTAAACAAATCCATGTAATGGGTTTTGTTTAGCCTAAAAAAATCCATATATGTATTTTTTCTATTTGCAGCATGACTGTTGTCTTTGAATATAGAACTAAATGTTTCACCTTGTGCCCTCTTCTCCTGCTCTTCAGCAGCCTAAGTCAGTAGTGACTCAAATACAGCACAATGATGTGTTAGTGTCACTGAATCTTCCTCATCATACACAGCCTGAGGCAGTCAGTATACTGATCTGTATCTGTTAAAGAGTTGATTACATGAGTTACTGAAGGAATGAAGAACTTTTCAGTCTTACAGCAGAAGCAAATTTAGACCAGACTGTAAGTTTACCTTTATTATCTAATCAGCAGGGTTAGGTGCAGTACCTTGGGACTTCCAATCTAGTACATATCACACTAATGTTTTTATTATAATAAACACAGGTGGGACTGAAAACAAGCAGTTATCTCAAAAATCAAGGAAAGTTATTAAATAGAGACTGAATTGATCTCTAGAGACAGTTTCTCCAAAATACAAATCTGAAAACTTGAAGCAGGTAAGGAAAAAGGAACGGAGGCTTTCCTTTTTTTTTTTTTTTTGTTTGTTTTAGTTTTTGATTTATAAAATAACATTTCCTTCTCTGGTGTTCCTGATCTGTGACTAGTGAATAGTACTGTGTTTTAGCCCAAAGCTGATAAAATTGAACAGATGCATCTGATAATATTTTTTTCCTCCAAAAATGCTTGTACTATGAAAAATAAAACAAAAGGTCAGTTTCTTCTTGCTTTCCACTCCTGCAGCAAAAATCTATACTGCAGATAGAGCTGATACAAATCTCATTCCCCTTCCTAGAAAATGTGGAGATAATAAAGAAAAAGCACAGAGTGCTGACTCCTTTTTTGTTTGTTTGTTTAATTATACTGACTGCATCAGAATGCTCTTTTCCACATTGATTCTTCTGAGCCTTACTTTCTGTGCATATATTTGCTCTTATCATCTTGTCTCTCGTTCTACACCAATAATAGTTATGGGCTTCCATACAGACATTGTGAGTAGAGTTCTACTTCCTATTTCCTCGGTAATTCAATTCATTTATTTCAAAGACTTATTTATTTATATTATTTCATACATATTTTTGTCCTTACTGGGGAAGAACTTCTCACATTTAATATGTGAATGTTTTGAATTCATGACAGATACACGATTGAGTTAGGTAATAGAATTGAAATCTGAATGTTTAACAAAAAATCACTAAAAGATCAACAATATTGGAGTTCTTATCTCATGTAAAGAAAGAGGATTTCTTCAGAAAATATTAATAGATGATCTTATATTCAAGGCAGCAAAATACACTGCATTTTAACCAGGCTCTTCTATTGAATGCCTCATTATAACAGAACCACAGAATCATAGGGGTTGGAAGGGACTTCTGGAGATCTAATCCTACCCCCTGCTAACAAAGGTCCCAGGCTGCAGAGGAAAGTGTCCAGAAGGGTTTTGAGTATCTCCAGAGAAGGAAGTCACAACTTCTCTGGGCAGTGTGTTCCACTTTTCTGTCATCCTCAAAGTAAACAAGTTCTAATGAAGAAACTATCTGTTCTAATGAAGTAAGCATTTAAAAAGGGAATTTTTCATTTATTAGCTCACATCTCTTCATTTTTCTAGTGTAGAATATGACTTCAGACAACAAGAAGGAAGATTTCAACAGATTTTGAAAAGGCTGGATCATGCAGAGCAAAATCCAGCTTCAGGTTCGCCTCAGAAGCCGTCATTTGATCGTCCACTTCACGAGAAAAAGGAGTTGAGAAAGAAAACAAAAAAGGTGAAAAAAAAATGCTTCTGGTGGATTTGACTTCCTTACAGATCTTAAACTGAAACAATTTTTATATTTCAAATGACAGTAGAGCAAAAACAGGTTTGGAAGCACAGAACTGAAAATACACTACTATGAAATCGCTAAAGAATATTTAATTGAGTATCAAATCAGAAGAATTATATCACTGAATAAAGACACATGAAGAGACTGTTTCTGAAGAAGAAATTTAAGTTTTCTTCTTTTTTTTTTCCTGTGATGCTCACATTCTTTGTAAAGACATTTTTGTTCAAGTTTCAAAAAAAAAAAAAAAAAAAAACAAGACGATGGTAGTCAAACCTGCAGACTTCATTTCATTTTAAGCAACACAAACTAAAGAAAAGGAACTTCACTGACCTTTAAACAGACTGCATAATCAATTATAAGTCCAGGGGAATCTCCTCAGAGGAGATAATTACAATTATTTCACATCTGCAGTGAAATATATTGGTTGTTGTCATCTACAATTTAACCATAATGAAGAATTTCAGGTTCAAGTTTTATTCTGTTCTTATATCAGTTCAATTTGAAAAGGAATTATTTCAAAGTATGTCATTTAATAGACTTCTTGTTAAGTATATCTTAAAATTAAAAAAAAAAAAAAACATACTAATTCTAGATCTAATTTCTTTCCTAAATGAGGTCCAATTAGATCTATTTTAGTTTTAAGCATCTCCAGTGATGGAGAATTCATAAAATCCAAGGGCAGCGTTTTCCAGCATTTGTCCATCTCCACAATGAAAAGAAATCTGATTAGATTTTACTGAGTTCTGACTTGTACTCATTACATCTTACTCTATCCCAGTGCACCTTGGCCTGATGAATAGAGAGGAATAGCCACTTTTGCTTTTGTACTGCTAAAACACTCACCTAATTCTTCCCAGTTGTACCTCTATGCATTTAATATCTGTATTGCTAAATCAAAACATTCTAAGGCTTTGGTTTTTTTGATTTTAGGAGGGTGAATGACTTTATGAAGGCCTATTAAATACAATGTAAATTAGTTAATATTAAAAAAATTTGTCTGTTCTGCAGAATTTTTCTTGAACTCTGGTTAAACAGTTCAAATGATGCCAGGATTTTCAACAGTCTTACATCTAGATCCTCCTTTTTTACACCATATATTATTAGTTCTTGTAATATTAGTTAAAAATGTCTATTCTTTTTGTACACTTGTGTTTCTCCAGTGCTTAGGGTTAACCAGACATTTGTCAGAAAAGACCAAAGATTAAAAAATACCAGTCTTCATTTACAGTGATGCTATGTCACATGGCTTAATCATGAGTATCATGATACAAAAGGACAACAGTTTTAAAAATATGTTAAGGACAATCAGTATGGAGTTGACAGACATAGAATTATTATTACTTTAAAGGCCTTTTGAAGGGAAAGCTGTATGAAATGTTAGGAGCAAAGTTATATGCCTTTAGTGAGCCAGAAAAGTTTGTCAGTAATGGTTTGTGGATGTAGTAGGCACCAGAATTCATTAGATAAGAGTATGTAATTTTATCACACCCATCTACACACACTGCTTATGCTGGCATTCCAACAGCATTCCTATTTTGCATTACTGTAATTGATATGCTGAAGGATCTCTTAGTGTGCAAAGGTTGCTTGTGTATTAAAATATCATTTTAAGATGAATATCTTTGGAGGACAAAGGTACAATAATAAGCAATACCAATAAAAGCAATACCAGCAAAACCAGTGAGTTTATTCTTGTACTAAGCTGATTTTCAATGACCTGCTATTATGTGAAAGTCATCTTCCTGTCCTTTTTCTTAAATAAGTACAGCAAGGCTCATTTTAATGTCTGATTTTGTTTTTGCATGTATCCCTTCAATAAAGACAGATTATTGAATTTAAACCTATCACAACATTTTGATTTGCCACATCACACCAATCAATTCCTGGAGTAAGTAAAACTGCACGAGAACACAAATATGCTATTTACTGTAAGAAAGTCCATTCAAAGAAGAAGGGCACTAAATTCTTACATGGAAAAAAAATATGAAATCAAGAGTTCACCTAAAGCACTGTCCTTCATAATGCTGAGTTGGCCCAGAGTTGTCAAGAAAGTTTATTTTAACTTTAACAAAGTACAACATAAGAATGCAGATAAGGTAAGAAACCATGTGCTACGTGAGTCAGCAGCGGCCACCTAAAAAACTTCCTAGCCAAACATGTTCTAGAAATGTGCGTGGACAGAACTCATCTGGCTTCCAGAAGCCCTGATACTGTGAACAAAAAACCCACAACAATTTAATTTAAAATGAAGTATGCCAGAAATAAATTATTCGTACAAAAGATTAAGCATCATAGTTTCACAATAAAGCCAGCTATACCAAAGGCAAGAGGTTATGATAGTGAGTTTTCTCACTATATCACACAACAGACTTAGCACAGAAAATTTTAAAAACAACGTTGGAGCAAAAAAACCCTACTGGTTAAATTAAATAGGAATAGTGAGAAGACATCAGCACAGCAGGATGACAGCATTGGAGAAGCAATGGAAAGGGTAGATAAGCAAATAATAATGGCTAAAAGAATACCGGCTAAAAGAATTTTGTTGACTTAATTCATTGTGTAATGCCTGAAACCATCACCAGAGTAGGAGTTAAATGTTAAAAATCAGAAGAAATAAATTTAAAAAAAAACCACCAACCAGAGCTAACTGATAACACTCACAAAATACTCAAATACTTTCTCTGAAGACATTTAATTGACAACTACAATGTGTGATTTATAAAATACTGTACAGCACATAAATTCTAGACCTACTTTAGTTCAAATTGCAGTTTTATGGAGTCAACCTAACTTCCCTTAAAAATTCCAAATGTATGAGAGGAGTAATGACTGCTTTTTGTCATGTACTGTCAGGTCATGCAGGGCTTTTTGTTGTTTCATGTAGCTCTTCTGAAAAAGTCACAATACTTAGTAATTATGCTATTTTAGATTCAGAATATCTTTCTAATGAAATATATCACCAAATGTGTGTTTTGTAAATCTTTATGTTCTTTAAATGGAGTGCCATCTGTTAAAACAAAATCTTTTTCTTAAGTTTCAGGAGTTGATAAATAACAAACAATATTTTGATTTCAAAAGAAGAGAACAGTTGTTCTTTGGAAAGAAAAAATAAATGGGAAATGAATAAATGGTTCTTTTACAAAATCACTTTGCAGTTTTTCTAGGTAGAGAAAATGTCTGAATCCGAAAACTGAACAAAAAAGAGACTTTAGCCAGTTTATTTTAATGTATGTTTTTTTTTTTTTTTTCTAAACAATGTCAGTTCCATAAAATGGTTTTTCTGGTCATGATGTCCTGAAAGAGCAGTTCGGGTTATTAAAGCACTGTGGGTTTTTTGTTTGTTTTGTTGTTTGTTTGTTTGTTTCAATCCTGGGAATTTCCTTTGAAATGTTGGTTGTTTACATCCAGAAACTTTACATTTATTTATGTCCATGGTGGAAAAGTAATAAATACAAATCTCTGCCTGATTGGTTTTTTTACAGCAAAGTCTTGATTTGCACAGTATCTTACTAATGTTGTCAGACTCTTCTTGCTAACTATTTAACCCTCTTGACCTTTGTTTAAACTAACAACGAGATGAAGATAAACTTTGGATACCAACAGTGACCTTGAAAACATCTACCATGCATTTGCAAACAACACAAAAACAATGTTTTTGTTTCCATAAACAAGCTGATACAGAATTAAGTACTTCCCTATTCTACATGCTTCTCTATATTTTGCTTCTTTAATTACGTCCGTGGTACTTCATTGCACCACTGTCCTGTAAGTAAAAGCCAAGATTCACATCAAGATTCCAGTGCAGAATAAAAAGTTAATCTCACAAAATAAACTCGTCTTTCCTTATTACAAGATTAAAAGCACTTCAGTGATAATCACTAAGGAGACTTATTTGTTTCTTTTTCGTATTTTAACTAGTGCAAACAAAGCAAGACACCATTATAGCCTTCAACTGCCAAAACACCAAAGCAAAGCCTTCAGTGCCATTTAAGTGCCTTCCCTGCAGTAGCTGCAGGGAGCTAAATTACTTACCCATTACCGCCAACTTCTCCTGAGGAGATCATGTCCTTCTTAGTCTGACCTTTTCCAGTAATTACATGAACAAAGCTCACAGCATGTTGTTACCTGCTGTGCACAACGAAGAGCCTTCCCCGTGGTTCAAATGGTGTTGTAGCAAGCAAAGATTAAAGCTAGAAGTTCTAAGCCAAAAATCCATAGCTCCCTCTGTTAACAATCGAGAAGGTTACAAAAACCTCCTGATCTGACAGAAGGCAAATAAATTTCAGTAGACTTAACAGCTGCAAACATTTACACCTGCAAAGAATTACAGGCCTTGTAAACTGTAAACCTTGTCCAGCTGCAGCTATTCTGTGTCCACCTACACTGACAGAGCACATTATGCTTTTTAGCTACTTGAGCTCACCTAAGCATTCTGCAGAAAGCCACACTTCCTGACTAATTTCTGACTAATTCTGAAAAATTGATCATTTAGGTTTTAAAGAAGTTCTGCCCTATCAAGTTTTGCCCATTAAAGCTAACCTGCAAAGTAAGTAACTGAAGACAGTATGCAGAACATGAAATGAGCTTGTTTTCACTTGTGCTCCATTTCTGACTGCAGATATTAATTTGTACTTCACAAAAAAAAAGAATAATATGTACAAAAGATTATCCAATTATCCCCATTATGAGATCTTGCCTCAGCTCTAAAACACCCTTCATTTTTGCTCTGAGAAACCTCTATAATATGATACACACACACTGTAGGAGGCGATGCAACAACACACACAGGTGATGGTGAGCATTATTACCATTCAGACATCTGCATGCCTAAACAAATTACAGAAGATGTCAAAAAAAACCCTAAAATATGTTAGTTGACTGTAAGCATCTTGTTTCTTAGTGTTTATTAAGTATTATGATATGTTTTGTAGGATTAAAAGTTTTATTTTGCTTCTGCATTTACTATTCATGGTATGCATAAATACTTCTCAGTGGATTGCTTATGTCATCCATAAAACAGAAAACATTTTCAAACACTAGAAAGCTGACAGGTTCATTGTCTTCTCATTCGGAGCCTGCTCCTGTTATGACTACACATACACATTAGAGAGCTGCAAACAGAACAGAATTCTGATGCACAGATAATAAGATTTCTGCAACTTGCAGATGTAACACTTCAGTATTTCAAGTGACCATTTCCAAATATCCCTGAAGAACTCAATTACTAGGAGGCTGATTACTAGGAGAACATTACAC